CAGAAATTCAGAAATTCAAAAATTCAGAAATTCAGAAATTCAGAAATTCAGAAATTCAGAAACTCAGAAACTCAGAAATTCAGAAATTCAGAAATTCAGAAATTCAGAAATTCAGAAATTCGGAAATTCAGAAATTCAGAAATTCAGAAATTCAGAAATTCAGAAATTCAGAAATTCGGAAATTTCGAAATTCAGAAATTCAGAAATTCAGAAATTCAGAAATTTCGAAATTCAGAAATTCGGAAATTTCGAAATTCAGAAATTCAGAAATTCAGAAATTCAGAAATTTCGAAATTCAAAAATTCAGAAATTCAGAAATTCAGAAATTCAGAAATTCAGAAATTTCGAAATTCAAAAATTCAGAAATTCAGAAATTCAGAAATTCAGAAATTCAGAAATTCAGAAATTCAGAAATTCAGAAATTCAGAAATTCAGAAATTCAGAAATTCAGAAATTCAGAAATTCAGAAATTCGGAAATTTCGAAATTCAGAAATTCAGAAATTCAGAAATTCAGAAATTCAGAAATTCAGAAATTCAGAAATTCAGAATTTCAGAAATTCAGAAGTTCAGAAATTCAGAAAGTCAGAAATTCAGAAATTCAGAAATTCAGAAATTCCGAAATTCAAAAATTCAGAAATTCAGAAATTCGGAAATTTCGAAATTCAGAAATTCAGAAATTCAGAAATTCAGAAATTCAGAAATTCAGAAATTCAGAAATTCAGAAGATCATAAATTCAGAAATTCAGAAATTCAGAAATTCAGAAATTCAGAAATTCAGAAATTTCGAAATTCAGAAATTCAGAAATTTCGAAATTCAAAAATTCAGAAATTCAGAAATTCAGAAACTCAGAAACTCAGAAATTCAGAAATTCAGAAATTCAGAAATTCAGAAATTCAGAAATTTCGAAATTCAGAAATTCAGAAATTCAGAAATTCAGAAATTCAGAAATTCAGAAATTCAGAAATTCAGAAATTCAGAAATTCGGAAATTTCGAAATTCAGAAATTCAGAAATTCAGAAATTCAGAAATTCAGAAATTCAGAAGATCATAAATTCAGAAATTCAGAAATTCAGAAATTCAGAAATTTCGAAATTCAAAAATTCAGAAATTCAGAAATTCAGAAATTCAGAAATTCAGAAATTCAGAAATTCAGAAATTTCGATAATTCAAAAATTCAGAAATTCAGAAATTCAGAAACTCAGAAACTCAGAAATTCAGAAATTCAGAAATTCAAAAATTCAGAAATTCAGAAATTCAGAAATTCAGAAATTCAGAAACTCAGAAACTCAGAAATTCAGAAATTCAGAAATTCAGAAATTTCGAAATTCAGAAATTCAGAAATTCAGAAATTCAGAAATTCAGAAATTCAGAAATTCAGAAATTCAGAATTTCAGAAATTCAGAAGTTCAGAAATTCAGAAAGTCAAAAATTCAGAAATTCAGAAATTCAGAAATTTCGAAATTCAAAAATTCAGAAATTCAGAAATTCAGAAACTCAGAAACTCAGAAATTCAGAAATTCAGAAGATCATAAATTCAGAAATTCAGAAATTCAGAAATTCAGAAATTCAGAAATTCAGAAATTCGAAAAATCAGGATCTCTAATTTTGAATAGTTAAGAAAATTCTGAAAATCTAAAAACATATAAATCCAAAATTTCAAAAATTCAAAAATTCATAAAAATCGAAAAACCTGAAAAAAGAAAATTCCAGAAAGTTCAGAAATTCGGAAAGTTGGAATTTAAAAAAATCAGAAATTCAGAAATTCAGAAATTCAGAAATTCAGAAATTCAGAAATTCAGAAATTCAGAAATTTCGAAATTCAAAAATTTAGAAATTCAGAAATTCAGAATTTCAGAAATTCAGAAGTTCAGAAATTCAGAAAGTCAAAAATTCAGAAATTCAGAAATTCAGAAATTTCGAAATTCAAAAATTCAGAAATTCAGAAATTCAGAAACTCAGAAACTCAGAAATTCAGAAATTCAGAAGATCATAAATTCAGAAATTCAGAAATTCAGAAATTCGAAAAATCAGGATCTCTAATTTTGAATAGTTAAGAAAATTCTGAAAATCTAAAAACATATAAATCCAAAATTTCAAAAATTCAAAAATTCATAAAAATCGAAAAACCTGAAAAAAGAAAATTCCAGAAAGTTCAGAAATTCGGAAAGTTGGAATTTAAAAAAATCAGAGTTTTCGAAATTTCTCCCCACTCACCTGGTACTATTTCCGATTGTATATCAAAATCGACCAGTGACAAATCTGAAATTCAAAATTTTGAGTTTCCCGCCAAACCTCCGCCCTTTCAAAAATTCTCACTTTTCAATGCCAAAACCTGTTGCCAATTTCCAATTTTCTGTTCTCGAATCATCGATTCCAAACCGAAAGTATTGATGTAAAAATTGATTTCTCTATTGGAAATTCCTCTTAATTTTGATAAATGTTCTTCAGAAAAAATGTGTCCGAGTGATTTGCGGAAACTCTTCGTGAGAATAGCATGATTGCACACTTTGCAGTCTTTCTGAAATTCAAACTGTTGTAACTTTTACATTTTTTAAGATTTTTAAAAGATTTTTATTTTAAAATGTGTGAAATGTCATTGTCTTCAAATTTCTAGTTGAACACTTTTTTGTACAATAACTCTTTAAGTCAGTAAACGCGCTCCACTGAGCCTCCCTTAACTTGAATAACTCAAAGGCGCGTGGGACTCCTATAGTGGTGTGTGGTATGTAGTCATGGACTGCCGGGCGCTTCATGTCTATGGTGCCCTGGGCCTTCTAGCTAATCGGGAACCTATAGGGTTGAGAATCGAAAATTTCAAAATTATGTTGAAACTCACTAAAACTTCAGGGAATTCTCAAAAACGGTTTTCAGGCCTATCTATGTGCTGCCCACAAAAAATTGAGCTGAAAGCTTCGCAACAGAAATTTTTTGTAACATTTTTTTCGTGATTAACTCAAATTCTGTAACCTACTGTAAATTTGGTTGCCGTGTTTTTTTCGACTGCAAAACATTCTAGAGAATTCCAGGACAGTTTAGAATACTCTCGAAAGCTCTACATCATTCCAGAAAATTGCAGAACATTCTAGAAAATTCCAGAAATTTTCACTGGTCTTTCCTATTTTTCGATATTTTTCAAATGTTTTAATATCAAAATGTGTAAAATGTCTTTGTCTTCAAATTTCTAGTTGAACACTTTTTTTTTACAATAACTGTTAAAATCAGTAAACGCGCTCCACTGAGTCTCTCTTAGGCGCATGAATCCGGATTGAAGTGAAATGCGTTACACATATTTTCCAATGACCATAACTTTTTTCATTTTTGATATTTTTAAAAATTTTTTAAACCAAAATGTGTGAAATGTCTCTGTCTTTAACTTCGTAGTTGATCACATTTTTGTATAACAACTCTCTAAGTCAGTAAATGCGCTCCACTGACACACCTGTAAAAAGTGCATGTACTGTTGCAGCGGAATGCGTTAAATTTTTCAATTATCATAACTTTTATAACTGTCGCTATTTTCAAAGAATTTATATCAAAATGTGTGAAACTTCATTGTCTTCAAATTTCCAGTTGAACACTTTTTTGTACAACAACTCTCTAAGTGAGTAAACGCGCTCCACTGACACTCCTTTGACTGGTGCATGCGCCAGTGTCAGTGGAGCGAGTTTACTGACTTTGAGGGTTGTTAAACAAAAAAGTGAGCAACTACAAAATTATAGACCAACTTTATTTATACATTTTTATATAAAGATATCAAAACGGTATCAAAAACTAACCAAGTTATGATGATTTGAAAAAATATACCAAAAATCAGAATTTTGGCTAATTTTCATAAAAATTGAAACAAAATTTCCTTTTTTAAAAAATAATTAAACTAACCACTTGACGCTGCAAACAAACATCAAAAACTTTGTGGAAGAGTAAATCTTCGGCCAGCAATTCCTTTGCTTTACCAACTTTTCGAACAAATTCTTGAGAAGTTGGATATCTTCAACTTCCAATTTCTTCTTATTGATTCCATGATAAGAGCTGAGCAATGGAATTGTCTCGAAAGGAATTGAAATTTCTAAAACAAAATTTTTAAGTTTTTGAGATTTTTTGTAGTAAAAAATGTTACCTGTAAAAGTTCCCAACTCGCCGAAGGCTCCGCCCACATTTTTTGAAATTTCTGGTCTTGGAATTCGTCGAAATGGATGTTCTTCTCCGTACAGATATATCAGAAAACCTGGAACAAATTTAATTTTCTTTTGAAAATTACAAATGCGATCTGTTGAAATTCTAGAACTCACTGATTTCATAGGTGACTGAACGTGTACGTTCAGTGATTGAAATACTGTCATCTGGAGTGACAGATCCATTGGCATACAACGCCTCCAAATCTTCCAGACTAATGGGTCTGGAACTTTTTGAATTTCAGGTTTATCAAGATTTTTCTGAAATTTCAAAAATCTGAAATCCAAAAGTTCGATCATTTCGTATTCTAGAGTTTTGGAAATCCCAATTTTTGAATTTCCAAATTTCTTAATTATGAATTTCCGATTTACGAATTTCTGGATTTCTGAACTTTTCAAAATTTCGATAAAACCCTCAAACCAACTTATTCTGAAACTGAAAAAGCGTATTCTTTGTTGTCATTCGTTGAAGATGGAAATTCTGAAAAAAAAGGGAAAATTATATATTTGAAAACCAAATTTTTGGGTGAAAAACAATAAAAAATTTTGACATGGCCTGATAACAAAATGTTCGCATAGATAACAGTAGAAATTATACAAAAAATTACAGTTGTCAAAAAATGTAAACATTGAATGTTCGAATTGCTGAATTTTTGAATTTTTTAAACAAAATTTCAAAAAATTCCGTATTTCCAGAATTTTCTAGAATTTCAAAAAACTCCACTTTTTCCATAAATTCTTCTAAAAATCGATTTTTTTTTTCAATTTTAAATACAAAACAATCGAAATTTTTCGTTTTTTCTCTAATTTTCTTGATTTTGGTTTGAAACTACAGTAACCTGAAATTTTAATTTTTGATAAGAAAAAAAAATAAAAAATCTTTTTAAAAGTAGCAATTTTCCTCCGAGAAAAATGGCCACACACAGTTGTTCTGTTCTCCTCTTTCCCTCATCCTCTCTTTCTCATTTTTGTAAAAAATAATTTTCAAAAAATTTCAAATTTTCAGATGCATCATCATGTGGAAATAACGTCGTCGATGGTATTCAAAATTTTGCTTCATAATTTTTTTTTCCCCTTTTTTCTGTATTTTTGTAAATATTTCGGGTCCGGCAAATGAATGTTTTATCGAAAATTTTGAAAAATTTTGTGGATTTTTTCAGGCTTCTTCAGGTAAAAACAACTGTGTAAAATGAGCGGAAACGTGAAAATTCGAAAAAAAAAATTCAGGTTACTGTAGTTTTCGTTGCGGGACCATATTCATGGTCACACGGCCGCGCCATGTGATCGTGCCGTTTTCTCTTCCATGTATCTTTTTCGTACGAAAAGATTGTTTGGAGGTCAACAACAGAAAGAGGGACCTTTCATTGAGACACATAAAAAGAGAAAAAGAGAAATAGCGAGTGTGGGGAAAGAGGAGACGCAGAGAAAGAGAGGATGAGGGAAAGAGGAGAACAGAACAACTGTGTGTGGCCATTTTTCTCGGAGGAAAATTGCTACTTTTAAAAAGATTTTTTATTTTTTTTTCTTATCAAAAATTAAAATTTCAGGTTACTGTAGTTTCAAACCAAAATCAAGAAAATTAGAGAAAAAACGAAAAATTTCGATTGTTTTGTATTTAAAATTGAAAAAAAAATCGATTTTTAGAAGAATTTATGGAAAAAGTGGAGTTTTTTGAAATTCTAGAAAATTCTGGAAATACGGAATTTTTTGAAATTTTGTTTAAAAAATTCAAAAATTCAGCAATTCGAACATTCAATGTTTACATTTTTTGACAACTGTAATTTTTTGTATAATTTCTACTGTTATCTATGCGAACATTTTGTTATCAGGCCATGTCAAAATTTTTTATTGTTTTTCACCCAAAAATTTGGTTTTCAAATATATAATTTTCCCTTTTTTTTTCAGAATTTCCATCTTCAACGAATGACAACAAAGAATACGCTTTTTCAGTTTCAGAATAAGTTGGTTTGATCCCGAGTATAGTAGACAAAACATTGTTATTTAACGTCATCAATCAAAACACTAAATAATTATCTCAAAATCATAAGAAAAAATTGAAACTTGAAAAAACTGTGAAAAAAATACAAAAAACACGAAAAATTGAAGTTTTCTATTGGAAGAGGAGACCCTTATTTTTTGGTTTTTGGTCTCAACATGAAAAATGCTTAAAATAATAAAATACGTTTATATAAAAAAAAAGATTTCGTTTCTATCTCAAAAAAATAAAAAAAAATCATTTTTCGATCTGCGAGTTTTGGAGATCGGATCAAAGTGGGCGGAGCCAATCAAAAGTATTCTCAAAATTCTTAGAAGTTCAAGTGTACTAACTGTATGCGTTACCAACTGATTTGGAACAGTTTGACTTTTTTTTTGTTTACTCGAAAATCTCAGAGAAAGTGTGTTAAGATGTTTGTGATAATATCAGCAACACTTTATCAGTTGACAGGTTTTTGATATCTCTTATATGATATAGCTTATATTATAATTGAGCTCAAAGTGCAAAGCGTTCTATATGGTATTTTAAGCTCTATTTGAACTTACGGGTCCCACGAGGGTTTATGTGACCATTAGGAATTTGGGATCCTAATTTTTTAGTAAAAACCCATTTTCAAAAAAATTTTCAGATAATATGGAACCTTTCAAATTCCTATGGAACTCGTAGCCTTGAATTTTACAGATCATTCGAGAGTTTAAAGGCCCTAATTAAATTTTTTAAGACTTATTATCAAAATTATTGATATTTTAGCAATTAGCGAGGTTTTCATGTTCTACGAGACACCAAAACTCAAAAAAAAAATCTAGAATTTTGAACAATAAAAACTTTTCAGATTCTCCACGAGTCCCGCTTATCGACCTACCACAGCCATTTGACACTAAAATATCGAGTGAGTTGGGTAAAAAAAGAAAACTGAAATTCTATGGACATTTCCAGGAGACCGCTTCAAACTAGTATACAATGGAAATCGCGAGCTTTTGAGCATTCTAAAACCGTGTGAAATCACTGAAAAGCATGTCGATGTAACATGTCATCACTGTCCAGGATCACCGAAATTCGCCACTGTTTGGGAGACGATGCAACACGTGTTCAATGAAATTCATGCTCAGAATGTGAGTTTGGTTGTTTCATTAGGGTGAAAATATGGCAAAAAATTCGGAGGGTACAAAAATTCGGGTAATTTGTACCGAATTTTTGTATTCTCCGAATAATTCGCCTGAAATTATCCATTTTTCAGATCAATTACATTGGAACATCGAAGGATTTTTTTCACTATAAGCTACTACTGAAACGAGTTCTGGTCAAACAGCCATTGCCAGGTAAAACAACTGTACTTGAAAATGGGTCCATTAATATTTTTATCAACTTAAAAGATAAGATAGAAAAACTTAAGAGCTACAAAATGATATTACTTGGAATACTGTATCTTGTCTATGAACAAAGTTCCAAACCAAAACCCTCCTCTACGCGGTCAATTTCTTGGCTTTTTGTAACTTTATTCGTAGGCAAGATACAGTATTTTAAACTATATAATTTTGTAGCTCTTAAGTGTTTTTATATTATATATTATAGTTGGTTTAAAAATATCTGACCTGAAAAAAGATATACCACGAGGAACAAGTAGGCTCGCCCTTCTAGTAAAGGTACGATGCTTCTACGCGCCATATTTCATTAGGGCGCGCTTGCACAAAAAAGTTGCCAACTACAAAAAATGAAGACTTAAATTTCGTTGAATATATTCTGAAATTTTGAGACGAATTGGACAATTCTAGACTACTTTCGTAGGATGTCAAAGTTCCACTTTTTCCAGAGCCTCGTGAACAAACATCAATACCAAAACCAACATCGAAGGAACTCTGCTACAAACTGGAAATGTGTGACTTCCACTTTTCCCCTCCCCTCTATTCAGAGAAACTGGCAAGTACTGTCGCGGACCAACGAATCGACAAATCCTTTTCATTCAAAGTTTGAGAGTCAGAGAAGATGTCAAGTTTTTCGAGAAACCTGTGAGTCCTATCGATTTTTCAAGAAAAAAAAACAGGAATGTTTTTCTTTCAGATGAAGTGCTTACTGTGTCAACTGGATATGTCGAACTTCTCAATTTTAGATGTTGCACGTCACGCATTTTCAATCAAACATCTTGAAAAAGTAGGTCAAAAAGTTTGGCTCTATTGTGGCTCAGGACGTTTGCCCCCCTCCATTTTCAAGATTTTTGAGATCCAATTCTAAAATTTTGACAAAAAAAAACAAATCAACATTTCCAGGCTCTGAGTCGTTGCAACATGTTTTTCGTTGAGGAATTCGAGTGGTGGATGGAAAAACTGAAGACGTCGTCGAATTTGATACCTTCTGAACCATCAGAATCTGCAGAATACTACGTCGGTGGATTAAAAACAATTATTGGGAACAGATATATTCCAGGTTTAAAAAAGAAGAGCCAAGTTCGCTTTAATGAGAATTGTTTTAGTTTTCGAAAAACTCACCGAGAAAGAATTGAATTTGATTTCAAATGTGGATGAGCAGAAGGTTCGAGAAAATGAGGAAGTTTTGTTGAGACGGGTAATTTTTAGAGTTTTCCAAATTCCTAAATTTTCAAGTTTTTTGCAGTTCGGCGGATGCATCTACTGTGACTTATGGATTCCGACACCAACTGATATCTTCCCTCATTTCTTTTCTGAGCAACATTTTGAGAAGGTTTGTGGACATCGGGATAAACAGAAACACAGAAAAATTTTGAATGTTCAGGTCCGTGAGCATCATCCAGTGAAGCAGTTTGATGTGGACGATGTGATGAGTCTTGTGAAATTGTGCCAGAAATCGGATTGTTGAATTTCGAATCATTTTTTTGCATAATGATTATTTTTGACTCCTGGAAATTATTAAATCTTTTCTATCCTAAAACTGTGAATTTCGTTTTGCCCATTTTGTACTGAAAAAGTGAAAAAAACAGGTGTCTTTCAGTAATCGGTAATTAGCTGAACACCTAGGAATATTTTATACCCTTCAAAATTTTAAAAGTGATCGGTAACTAGGCAGCCCAGTTCCAGACCTACTGTCACTCGGATACAGGTCACCCGGATCCAGGTCACCCGAATCCAGGTCACCCGAATCCAGGTTACACGGCCAGGGTCGCCCGGATCCAGGTTATCCGGATCCAGGTCACCCAGATCCAGGTTACCCGAATCCCGGTCACCCGGCCAGGGTCACCCAGATCCGGGTTATCCGGATCCAGGTCACCTGGATCCAGATTACGCGGATCCAGGTTATCCGGATCCAGGTTGCCGGGAGCCAGTACCCAGAACCCAAGACCCAGGACCCAGGACCTGGGACCCAGGATCCCCGGGTCACCTTCTCTGGAGCCCAGAGAAGGTGAGAACTGATTCTTCCTTTCATTTCCCTCTACCTTTATATTACTCTCCTAAAGGTCAATGGTTTCTAAACTAATTCACGTAGTCGTTTTTTTTTTCTAGAATTTCAAATTTCTTTCGAAGCATTTTTTGTCACGGGGGTTAAGAAATTTTTTTTCCATCACGTTTAAATAAACTTGAATTTTCAGTTTTGAAATCTGTGAAACTTCTTCAAAATATCGTTCCTTTGAACCCAATTATCTTGTTTCCTGTAAAAGATATAAAAAAAGTGTCAACTGATGAAATGATTCTGATATTAAGACAAACATTCTCGCCTTAAAAATGTCTTAATATCTTTTACAGGAACAAAGATATATTTGGCCAACGTTGCGAAATTATGGTTGTGAGAGGTGAGATTGATTGAGCAAGGTGTGAGATTAGACAACCTGTCCCATTGATCACCAATCAATGCCTATTGATTTCTTTGCTCGCTCGTTTACAGAACATACTCATTCTCTCATTTTCTTTCCATTTGTCTCCTAGTTTTTGTCTTCCTCATACTTGTAAACCGTGACTTTGCAGCGCCTTCGCGGGCCTTGCCGTAGTTTCTTTTAAAATAAATATTTTTGCACCAACTAAGTTAGATAGAATAGAACTTAACGAGAACTACAAAATGATCTTATTTAAAAAACCATATCTTGGTTTTGAGCATAGTTACGAGGCATAAAGAGGCTGAGCCCGGTTGTGCCGGGTCGGTTCTGTTGTTATTATCGTTTTATTTCGGCTGTAACTTTGCTCATAAGCGAGATACCGTTTTTTGAATTGTATCATTTTGGAGTGCTTGTCGAGTTCTATTATATCGGATTTAGTTGGACCAAAAATATTGATTCTAAAAGAAACTATGGCAAGAGCCGCAAAGACCCGGTTTACTTCTACTTAAAGGTGGTGTGCGGTGAAAATTTTTATTGCTTTATTTTGTGCAGAAATCCATGTAGATCCCCATAAAAATAACGAAAAAATTCAATAAAAATGCCTTCATTGAGAAAAACGGCATCGAAAAGTCAAAGTGGGAACCGGTGGCCTAGCGGCCAGGTGTGAGTTTTCTAGGCCAACTTCCGGTAAAAGCGCGCGAAATTCGAATTTTTATTGATTTTCAGTGTTTGCTCAGATTTTTGTCAGGTTGTTTCATACGCCTGGGAGGAAATTAACAGAAACATTTTGAAATGTTTAAAAGACATCATTTATTTTAAGAAGAAATTGGAAGTTGAAGATATCCAAACGGATCTAAAAGCCTGCTGCTGTCAGAAGTTCGGAAAAAGATTTGTTATTATCCACTATTATTCATTTCTAGGTTAAGAAATATCAATTTTATGTCACCATGTCCCTTTTTGTCTATTTATTCTCTTTTTTATTCTTTTTTCTTTTTATTCTTCCACGTATTTTTTACGTAATAAGTACAAATACAATATAATACCTTGCCGCTAGGCCACCGGTTCCCACTTTGACTTTTCGATGCCGTTTTTCTCAATGAAGGAATTTGTTTTGAATTTTTTCTTTATTTTTATGGGGATCTACATGGATTTCTGCACAAAATAAAGCAATACAATTTTTCACCGCACACCACCTTTAAGTAGACGTGTAAAACTAAAATCCACCGTTGAAAGCTATAGAATTGTGGAAGACGCGATGTTCGAACCTGTAAAAATTGGGAATTCATATCGTTTTTTCAGTTCATCCCTCCTCTATTTTCAGTGTTTTTTGTGTGGTAAAACTACCATAGTCTTCTCATTACTTTATATCGATTTATCAAATCAGGTTTCAGATTACAAATCAAAGTTCAACAACAAAAATGCATAAATTTTGCATAGAATCTCATTTTACATTTTTACAAAAAAAAAAATTGATTAGGTCGTGATTGGATTTTTACAAAAAAGTGGGGGGGGGGGGTGTTTTATTTTAATCAGATTTGAATTCAGCGTTCTCTGTCGCTTCAACTGAATTCACCTTATCGGATTCGTCCTCATCGGATTCTGGAGTCTCTGGAGCTTCAACTGACGGCGGTGCAACACTCACGACGACAATATTGGCCGACGGGATGAGCTCTGGAAAATTGATCATAATTTTGCTCAAACTTAATATTTTTAAGAGTTTTAAATATTGAAGCAGAGCTATTGAAAAGGGCTTCAAGAAAATATAAAATTTCACTAGTTTTGAAATACAGTATTCCGAGAAAAAAAGAGCTGAAGATCGGATATTGGTGGGTTGTGTCAATTAGTGGACTCGCGCAGCTGAAAAAGCTTGTTGAGCTCTACAACTTCCTTCCAACTCTTAAAAAATTAAAAAAAAACAGCTGACTCACTGAGCTCTTGAAGCGTTTTTTCCATATCTTCCTCTGCAAACTCTTTTCGTGGGAATGGCGTCATCATTCTGAACTTAGGAGCTGCTGGATGGTTGGTTTCAATCCAGGTGTAAACTGTGGAGAGCTGCAAAAAATCAGATCAATCTGAGAATCAGCAAATTCGAACTTTAAGAGTTTAGGAGAACCCAGGGACCCAGGGACCCAGGGACCCAGGGACCCAGGGACCCAGGAACCAAAGTCACCTGGCCACCCGAATCCAGGCTACCCGAATCCAGGTCACCCGAATCCAGATCACCCGGATCCAGGACCCAGGTTACCCGGACTTAGGATTCAAGCATCCAGCATCCGATCCCCGGATCCCCGGGTCACCTTCTCTGGAGCCCAGAGAAGGCAGAACTGATTCTTCTCTCCATTTTCTCTTCCTTTATAGTAGTTTCCCTGAGGTCAATGGGACATCGAGGGTCGTGGGTGTCTATATTATTTAACGTAGTTTTCGAAATTATATAATTCAAAACAATTGTTTTTTGCCACAATGCACAACATTTTTATATTTTTCACTTTTAAATAATTATCGCATTTTCACTTTTGAAATCTGTCAAATTCCTTAATTAGATCGATTCCTTTGAACCTAATTATCTGGTTTCCTGTTTGAGATATCAAAAATGTGTCAACTAATGAATTGTTGCTGCTTTCAAGGCAAACATTTTTGTTCTCAAAGATATCTTTCACAAGAACCAAGATACATTGCCTCAAAGACACGCGTAAATTCCCATATTTTTAGCAAGAAAATGTTTGCTCTGTGAGCTTAAAGGAGGCCACACACCAAAAAAAAGTTTTCCTGATATTTTGCATAGAAAACCCCCATGAGGGGTTGAACTCATGACAGGCAGCTCAGGGGTACAGCGCCGCTACCGACTGGGCTACGGGGGCGCGAAGGCGCCTGACGACCGATTGTTTACATAAGCGCGGCGCGATTTCGTCCCCCGAACTGTCCCCCGAAATTTTTGCTGTCTCGCCTCCTTTAATTAACTTGGTTAATATAAGATATATCATAAAGTAATCAACTAATAAATATTGCTGATGTTATGATAAATAATTTATCAGTTGACAGATTTTTGATATCTCTTATAGCAACCGAGATAATTGAGCTCAAACAGCCCAAATTTTATACTGATGTGTTGTTACTTTGGAATCTAAGAATTCTTAGACCTCTCAGACTGTTAAGCATCCCTACTCACCTTCTCTTCCTGTTTAAACTCCTGCTTCACCACTTTCCCTCCCGCCAATCGAATTTGCAACATGGTGCACCCCTCCTCGGGACCCTTTGGGATTACTGGAACCTCCTTCTTCACCACCTCAATCCTTCCCATTCTTTGTCTCCTCTCCTCTGCATCCAGCTTAATCTGCTCCAGAATCTTCTTCCGATCCACGTCATCCTCTGCCTTCTGACGACGTCTCATCTCTGCGTACTCCTTCATTCGTCGATCCTTCTCCTCTTGATCCTCCTCCATCTGTCGCTTTCCTTCTTTGTGATCCATCGATTTTTGATCTACCAAGGGCGTCTTCTGATCCTTGAGCTCTTGTGCCAACCGAATCTTTTCTACGATCTCTTTGGCTTTGGCAGTTTTCTCCTCCTCTGTTAGTGGTTTTGGTGGATTGGCTTGGGAGAATTTGGAGTGCTGGGTTTCAGAGGCATGAGCCATCATTAGCTCGTCATTGGGGAGGAATAGGTTGCATCTGGAAAATGGGATAAGTTGTATCGTGTAGCCCTGGAAAATCGCTACAAATTGATATAAAATTTGACTGGGCCGCACTACGCGGTCGCTGTCGGCTAGCCATCGACACCGCGTAGCTCATGCCTCACTTGATAAAAAGTTTATAAAATGTTTACTGATAAAATGTTTACCGTAATACGACAAACATTTTATTAGTTAACCACTTTTTGATATCTTTCAATGCAACCGAGATAGTTTACAAAATTTCGATATCTCTTATGGGAGGCGAGGTATTATAATTAAGCTCAAAGGTACAAGTATAGGGTGACAGCCTGTTAGAGCTTATGACCAGTCAACTTTGAAATCAGTTATCTCGGTTGCTATAAGAGATATAAAAAAGTTGTCAACTTATAAAATGCTTATCATAATATCACCAATATTTTACTAATTAACAACTTTTTGATATCTTTTATATCAGCCGAGATAATTGAGCTCCAAACTCACTGTTCACACTTGAATCCAGTGGCCACTGCTGGAAGAGCATTGTTGAGTGCCGAAGCGGCGTCAGCAGCAGATGACGTGGCTTCTGAAGCATCAACATCGAATCCTTCTCCACCGACTTCGATGAAGTTGAGAGCCTGAGAAATTAGATTTTTAGGATTTATATTCCGAGACTCATTTCTGTCTAATTTTCACTTTTCTAGCACACTTTCCAGCCGAGATATAGGACTTTGAAGTGTAGGAAGCTAGAGACGCAGACAACGAGACACTCTAACTGTCTGTGTCTCTTCGAAAACCTCTTCAAATCGCAGTATCTCGCCTCTCAGAAGAGCTGGGACAGTGAATTTTGGACGAGATTCTAGGATTACTGTACCTGATTCAAATTGCGATTATTTCCCGCCGCAGCGCTGGCCGTCTCTGGAGCGAATCCCATATCAACGAGCTGATCCACAATTGGGTTCATCTTTTGGATTTCTTGGAAATCTGACATTTTTTGAAGATTATTAAGAATTTGTGTCTTCTTTAAAAGACGTTTAAAAGACAAACAATTATTCTTTCAAACTAAAAAAAAACATTGGAAATTAGAATTGAAAATCAATAAAAAATCTTTAAAAAGAGCCAAATATTGACGAGAGAGAGAGAGAGAGAAGAAGAGACGCAGAGAAAAGGGGGGGGGGCGTCTATATGCAGTTTTTCGTTGTGTTGCAATAGAGAGGTGTAGAGACGCAGAGGAAGAAGGAAATTTGGAAAATGAGGAATTTGAGAATTGGGAAATTTTTAAAGTTATGAAATTTAGAGATTCTGAAAATCTTTTAAAAATCAAAATATTCAGAAAAGCTGAAAACAAGTTTTTTTTTTGAAAATTTGAGATTCTATAATTCTGAAATTCTTAGATTCGGAGACTCTGAAAATTCTGAAAACGGGAAAATCAGAATTTTTTTTGCAAAAATATTTTTCTGAAAATTCGAAAACGGGAAACCGTAAAAATTTGAAAATCTTGATTTGTTTGAAAATTGGAGATTTTTTTTAAAATGAAAATCCTAAAACTCGGAAAATTAAAAATTCTGAAAACTTGAGATTTTAAAATTCCACAAATCTAAAAATCCTAAAATTTGAGATTTGAAATTCAAAAAATTGGAATTTTGCTAAAAATTCTGAAAATTTAAGATTCTGAATCTCTTTGAAAATTTCGAAAATTGGAAACTTCAAAAACGAGAAAATCAAAAACTCGGAAAATTCTGAAAATTAGAAACAATCAACTTTTTGGAAATGTAAAGATTCAGAGAGTTTCAGATTTTATAAATCGAAAATGTCGAATCTCGCTGAAAATGTTGAAGCTCTATAATTCCGAAATTCGCAAAGCCAAAAAAATTCCCAAACCGGAATTTTTGAAAATTCAAAAAATCTCATTTTCAATGACGAAAATCAATGACAAAAATTTCTTTTGCACCAAAAATAATAAAAATATTTCAAAAAAAAAAACGAATAATGCAAATAATATTAAGCAAAGGATTGGATTGGCAATTCGAATGGGGGGTCGTGGAGGTGAAAATCAAAATTCTCAATAGAGCGAACTTTCTGAGTAATCATTTTTGAAAATTAGAGAAAAAAAAGGGGAGAAAATCACATGATAAGTAGTAGGGAAGAGGGGGCAGCACAACCGGGGCGGAGAGAGAATCAGAGGGAAAAATTGAAATTCTAGAAAATTCTGAAGGGGAAAAAAACAAAATTTGACTGAAAATAAGGGGAAATTTATACAGAAAATTGTTCAAAATTAATGATTTTCGCTGAATTTTTTGAGAATTTTCAGCAAAATTTTTCAGCAGAAAATCTTGGCAACAGCCTCGCGTGCATATGGAATATACGACAGAGAGTACCATGCCATTGCAATATACTGTCCAGCAGTACAAATAATCGCCAAAACGGCATTTTTTAACACTAAACCAGAGATCAATGTGAGAAAAATGAACAAAATATAGAGAGAAGAAGCGATCCATCGAGATTTATCAAACATTTTCTTTAGCTGGCCGATTGGACCCATTAGACAGCACGTAGAGGATAAGGAGAGGATAGCACTGATCGAAGTGAGAATGCAGAATCCAGTGATTTTGGTGAGAAGGAGCAGATAGGATCCCTACAAAAAATTGGAGATTTTTGAGTGGAAATTTTGAGAAAATCGAAAAACCACTCACACAAAAACTGGCAATTATAGAAAGGATAAACAGGCCGATAAACGATTGGACTCGCATTTCCCAAGACATTCCAGTTGTGATTGTCTGAAAATTTGAAATTTTTTAGCTGGAAAAAACCCAATTTTTTCTGCTTTTTTTGAGATACTTTTCGTCACAAACTGTCGGTCTTAAGCACAAAATTTCAGCCAAAAACAAAGCTCACCGGTTGTCCTTCATTTTCCTGTGGAACGCGGGGCCCGTTGAGAGTGTTCGGGTTGTTGGGGTCACTATTCCGATGAACACTGCCGAACATTATCTGAAAATTTTAGAAAAATTCAATAAAAACTGGAAAAAATGCTGTAAAGGCGCTGAAAAAAAATTGATTTTTCTCTAAATTTTAACTCAAAATTGAATTGCGCCATGCTGCGATTTCTGGCGCATTATTCGGGTTGTTGACGCATTTCTTGTGAATAATTTTTTGTAAAAATAAACACATTTTCGACCGATTTTTTAAAGGTTTTCAGCTAGTTTTTCATTGATTTTTTGCTGTAATAATATGAAATCATGACCTAGAAATTGAATAAAAGTTATACAAAGTTGATTTGATGACCCGTTTCATGAGATTTGATCAGTTTTAGGGGTGTAACTTTTTTGCTGAAAAATGGCTTTTCAAAAATAGTTTCATGTCAAAATTTCAGAAAACTCAACTGAAAATGCCTCCGAAACAAGCACCGAGCAAAAAGGCGGAGAACAAGCGGAAGGAGAAGGTGATCGAGGACAAAACGTTCGGTTTGAAGAACAAGAAGGGAAATAAGAATCAGAAATTTGTGGCGCAAATTGAGAATCAGGTTTGAAGCTTAATTTCAAAGATAACGACCTAATTTCTCACAAAATTCCAGGTCCGCAACAACAACACGCGTATGGACTTGGTCCGGCAGCAGGAGGCCGCCAAGAAGAAAGAGAAGGACGAGCTGTTGGACATTCAGAATCTTCTGAAGCCTGTGGAGCAGAAAGTTGCGAAGGATGTCGATCCAAAGTCGCTTCTCTGCGTTTTCTTCAAGCAAGGATTGTGTGGAAAGGGGGCAAAGTGCAAATTCAGTCACGATTTGGCTGTGGCTCAGAAGACGGCCAAGAAGAATTTGTATGCAGACAGCAGAGAGGTTGAGAAGGATGGTAAGTAGGATTTTAGCTAGAAAATATTGGAATTTTCTTGAAAAAAAGAGCTAAAAATCGACAATTTAACCATATTTGGAGCCGAACTAGCTCTTTTTTCCAGCCATATTATTGCTTAAAAACTCCCAAAATCAATTATTTTTCACAGAAACTAACGAGAATTGGGACAAGGAGAAGCTGGATGAGGTGGTGAACAAGAAGAACAAAGGAGGACATGTTATCGATATTGTAAGGGATTTTTTGATGATTTTCGCATTGAAAAACCAGGAAAAAGTACCAAAATATGTTAAAAACCGTTTCCAGGTGTGCAAATACTTCCTGGAAGCCGTCGAAAACAACAAGTACGGATGGTTCTGGGAGTGTCCAAACGGTGGTGACAAGTGCCAATATCGTCATTGTCTGCCAGAAGGATACGTGCTGAAGAAGGACCGAAAAGCGATGGAAGCACAGAAAGAGGATGAGATTAGTATTGAGGAGTTGGTTGAGAAGGAGGTGCGATTTTCAGGGAAAATTGGCTGAAATCGGCAAAAAAATTACTGGAAAATCCGTAAAAATCACCGAAAATCGCTTTTTTGAGCCTATTTTTCGGAGAAAGATTTATGGAAATAGTGAGAAAAAAGGGCTGAAATTACCATTGAAAATCCATCAGAAACTCCGAAAAATTAGCTTAGAAATCTTAGAAATCAGTAGGAAAGTTTCACTTTTTGGATCCTTATTCAACTAGTTTTAAGCCTAAATTTGCCATTTTTCACCAAATTTTATAGAATTTTTCTCTCGAAATTTGCTTTTTTTTAAGTCAATTTTACACCGGAAACTTTGAAAACTGGCTCAAAATCGAAAAATTGCTCATTTTCAGCGAGCCGCACTGAACTCGAAGGACCTCACAAAACTGACACTTCAAACGTTCGTCGCATGGAAGAAGAAGAAGCTGAAGGAGAGAAAAGAGAAGGAGGAGGCGGATTTGAAGGCGAAAAAAGAGAAAATCAAGTCTGGAAAACATGTGAGTTGATGTGAAAAAATATGATTTTCTGGGGGTTTTTTCACTAGTTTTCACTAGTTGGGAACCCTAAAAAATGCGCTGAAATTGAATTTTTCATCCAAAAACCATATTTCTCTTCCAGAACGGAATGTCGGGACGTGATTTGTTCCTGTTCGACGCGAATCTCATCAACAACGACGACGACGAAGCCGGAGATATTGAGATGGAGAAGGAGGAGGTTGATGTGAGTTTTTTCCTAATTTAATAGGATTTTCTCCGCGCTGACCATTGAAAAATTCGAGTTTTCTATGGAAAATTGAGATTTTTCCAAGTCAAAAACTAAACACCTCTAATAGAAGAGCCCCCTAACCGTAGACCTCGAGCCCATATACCGTAAAACCTGTATTAGAAGGGCCGGCCCTTCTATTGTTCCAAGGTACCTCCGGAGGGCCCTTCAATTAGAGGGGGCCCTTCTATTTTTCCGGGCAGTTCTTCCGAAGTTTTGCAAGGAAAAGTTCGACGAAGTTACGTTCAAAATTCATGAAATCTGCCAATTTCACAAAAATTTCGCAAGATTTCCACCGAAAAATAGAGTGCTTCTATTAGAGGGGCCTTTCTATTAAAGGGGCCCTTCTAATACAGGTTTTACGGTATCTCGTTTTCTGTGAAAGATATCAAAAAGTAGCAAACTGATAAAATGTTTATCTTAATATCAGGAATACTTTATCAGTTGACAACTATTTGATATCTTTCACAGAGAGCGAGGTAAATTGGCTGGAAAATAGACTAAAATCAATCTTTCTCAAAAATGATCTCTTTTTTCCAGGAAAACGAGAAGGTGTTCGAAATCGACGCCAACTTCTTCAAATTCGACGGAATGGACGACGAGCTGACGAATCAGATGAGCAATTCCACGGCCGCTGTTTCCTCGGTCGCTGGAGGTTTGTTTGTCCCTTTGAAGCTGACAATTTGGCTGAAAAATCTGAATTTTGACTCCTAGAATGGCATTTTATCACTGAAAAATCATTTACCGTAAAACCTGTTTTAGAAGGGCCGGCCCGTTCAATTTTTTGTAAGGTCCCTAGGGGGGGGGGGGGCCTTCAAATAGAGGGGCGCTTCAATTAGAGGGGCCCTTCTGATACAGGTTCTACGGTATTTTCGATCCCCAGCACACAGAAAAAATTCCACGTGGTGCTGTTCTTTTCATCTAGCTGTCCATCTGTCCTTTTTTCTCTCTGAATCTCTTATCACTCCCCTATCTCTTCATCATCACCAAACACAAAAGCCATAGATCAGACATCACTTGTGTCTCTCTTCTCTCTCCTGTCTGTGATGGGGATGTTTCATTTTTGTCAGCTATCCGTTTTTTTTGCAGGATAAAAAGTCAGAAAAATCGATTTCAGGTGCTGAAAAAGACTGAAAATCGCTTAAAATTCATCATTTTCTGGCGGGAATTTCGAATTTCTATGTAAAAACTGCCTTTTTTTCCTATTTTTCTGGATTTTGGACGAAGAAAATTCGCTTTTTTTTTCCATTTTTGATGCCTGAAACTTCAACTTTCAGGCTGGAAATTACAGAAAATTCAGTGAAATGGGATTTTCGAACCAAAAAAGTCTGAAAATGGCGAAGAAATCTTCCAATTTCAGTCTAGCCAATTTCAGTTTTCCCTATTTTTTTCGTTATTTTTCTATCTGAAATTTGAATTTTCAGTGTTTTTCCAATTTTTCAGCCTAACAATCACCTATCTATCTCTTTTTTCGCCACAAAACCAATAGAAAAGCCACGTGGGGGATGTCTGCGTCTCTCTCTCTCCGACTCCCCAGAGACCTGAAGAAATAAAAGAAAAAAAACTAATTTCGCTAAAATACTCTTTTCTTTGCAGCCGTCGCCAAGATGGACATCAACGAGGACCTATTCGACATTGACGAAGACGTTGGAGACCTTGATTCGGATTCTGATGAGGATTAGAAGATTGAAAAACATTGATTTCCTTCGTTTTTTTGCCGATTTTTCGAGGGTTTTTGAGCGATTTTTTGTTGAATTTGAGTCTATTTTAAGATGATGTTTGTCCTCTTTTTTTTCAATTAAAATTGCTACTTTCTGGCATTTTTTGGCTGTTTTGACCGAATTTTTAATTGGAAATGTATCTAGATTTTGGGCTATTTTTGGACCTATTTTTGACTAGATTTTCAGCTTAAAAAGGCAATTTTAGACTCATTTTCAACGAATTTTTGCTCATTTTCCCACTGTTTGCCCTCTGAAATTGCCTATTTTTCAGCCAATTTCAGGCCTATATATCCCCGATTTTCTCCTGTTTTCTCACACATTTTCCCTGCTAAAAATTGCTAAAAATCCTTGTTTTTCCCCCTATTTTTGTGTCTAACTGGTAGTTTTTTTCCCAATTACTGGATTATTTTTCTTCCCCTCCTTGGTGTCTGTCTCTTTTTTCTTCTTTTTCTTATTTGCTCGTTTTTTTGTCGTTATAAATTCCTTGAAAGTTTTTTTTCCCGAAATCTGAATTTTTCGAAATTATCGTTTTTAGCGATTTTTCTATATATTTTTTAAACGATATATGGAGATTTTTTGATGGAAAAATTGTAATTTTTCTGAAAAAAGTTTCAAAATTTCAAACTTTGTTGAAAGTAGCTCTTTGGCTCCTAAAAATCTAGAAATTTTGAACGTACAATTTTTGAAAACATCTGGAAAAATTGCTGTTTTTTTTCCGGAATTTTCGAAACCGAACTTTAGGATTTTGAAATTTAAAAATTGAGATTTTAAAGTCAAAAATTCGAAATTTTTGACCCCAAAAATCAGTTTTTTGAATTTTCCCCAATCAAGAAATATGAATTTTTGACCCCAAAAATTATAATTTTCTGATAAAAATTGCGAATTTTCGACCCCCAGAATCACAAATTGTCGGTTTTCTCTGCGAATTTCTCAATTTTTTCCCAAAAATTGCAGATTTTTGGCTTTTTCGAGAATCGATTTTTCGATTCTTAAACTATCAATTAGGTCTGAAAAATTCGCATTTTTGAAACCGAAAAATTGAAAATTTCTGATCTAAAAACTTTTAAAAAAAATCAAATTTTCCATAGATTTTGACCTGAAAAACCTGAAAAATTACGAATTTTCCCTTCTAAAAATCACGCAAAATCCCCGAAAAAAACGGCCAAAAAATCTAGTTTTCGATCTGAAAAGCCACATTTCACGACGATGCACACAATGTTCTCTCGCCGCTCTAAATCTCCTTTTCCCGGAATTTTTCCCAAAATATCCCAAATTCTCAGGCGCCAAAAATGAGTAGCCGAGCCGTCAGTGTGTTGTCGAAATGTCGTATATCTCAACAACAAATTCGTGGAAAAGCCCATTTCACATTCCAGCCATCACAGACACTTCCAGCTGCTCTTCAGGTAAAAAATACTATGAAAAATGAGAAAAATCGGTTGAAAATGATCTAGAACGAGCTAATTTCGGATCATTTTGAGCTGAAATTAATGCCAAAAAAAAAGAAAAATCGGCCAAAAAATGATCTAAAATGATCCAAAAATGACAGATTTTAGTGATTGAAAAATTCGAAAAATCGCAAAAATCACCCCCAAAAAATGCCATTTTTCTCGTCGAAAATAGTCGAATTTTCAGCCAGATTTTGAAGTTTTTTCAAGTCTGAAAATCCATTTTCCACCCAAAAAATCCCCAATTTTGAGTCCATGGAAAAGACGAAAATTAGAGAAAAATCGGTTGAAAATGACCTAAAAAACCAGCTAAATATGACAGAAAAAAAAAGCGAAAAAATGATCAATTCAATTTTTCTTCAAATCCAATATTCAAATTTTTAAGCAAATCGACAAAAAAATTAAGCTATTTTTGACTCCAAAAATAACAGATTTCAGTGATTTTCGACAAAAAAAAATTTCGAAAAAAAACAGCGAAAAATACCCCGAAATAAGACAAATTTGATCCTTAAAAGTTGGTAAAAATTGTTAATTTCCAACCGAAAAATGCCGAAAATCATCAAATTTAAACTGGAAATTATCAATTTTCGGGTGAAATTTTAGCTCTGACAATGGCTATTTTTGTCTCAAAAATTACAGAAAATTGACCTAAAAATCGCCAAAAATCATCTGGAAAATTATATTTTTGTCTAATCAAAAAATCCTAAAATTCGCCAAATTTGCAGTCAATGGAAAAAAAATGATTCAATTCCGAAATTCGAATTTTTTAGAAAAACTTAAAAAATCGACAAAAAATTCAGCTTTTTTTGACTCCTAAATGACAAATTTTAGTGATTTTTCAATTAAAAAAAAACCTAAAAGTCTGAAATTCGGCGCAGAAAATGACCCAAAAATGTCAAATTTAGAGCTCTGCTCTCCAGGTAAAAATGCGATGAAAAATAAGAAAAATCGGTTGAAAATGACCTAAAAAGAGCTAATTTCGGATCGTTTTGAGCTTAAATTAATGCCAAAAAATAGTTTGTCAAAAAAGAAAAATCGGCCAAAAAATGACAGATTTCAGTGATTTTTCGACTTGAAAAACTCGAAAAATCGCAAAAATCACCCCCAAAAATGTCGTTTTTCTAGTCAAAAATAGTCGAATTTTCAGCCAGATTTTGAAGTTTTTTCAAGTCTGAAAATCCATTTTCCACCCAAAAAATCCCCAATTTTCAGTCATGGAAAAGACGAAAATTAGAGAAAAATCGGTTGAAAATGATCCAAAAACGAAAAAATGATCAATTTTAATTTTTTTTCAAATCCAAAATTCGAATTTTTAGAAAATCTGAAAAAAATCGACAAAAAATTCAGCTATTTTTGGCTGCGAAAAATGACAAATTTTAGTGATTTTTCAAATCAAAAAAACTCGAAAAATCTGAAATTCGGCTTAAAAAGACTCAAAAATGTCAAAGTTAGAGCTTAAAAATTGAAAAAAAAAGAGATGATTTCCAATCCAAAAATGCCAAAAATCATAAAATTTCAGCTGGAAGATGGCCTATTTTCGATCCAAAAATCACAAAAAAAAAGCTGAAACTGGCCTAAAAATCATCTAGAATATTCCATTTTTCTAACCAAAAAATCTTAAAATTCCTAAATTTTCAGTCCATGGAAAAGACGAAAATGAATCTGATGCAGTCGGTGAACGATGCGATGCGCATCGCGATGGAAACTGACGATTCGGCGGTGCTGTTCGGTGAATACGTCGCGTTCGGAAGTGTCTTCAGATGCAGTTTGGATCTTCAAGTAAATCGAGAATTAGAGATTCTTAGATGAAAAATGGAGAATTTTGGATCGAAAAATTGAATTTGTGAGCCAAAAAATCATCGTTATTTTCAGCAATTTTTGGGTCTATTTTGGCTCGAAATG